TTAAGGATGCGACAACTAAAGAGGACCTTCTGACTGTTTTGCCCCTTAAAGAAAGAACAAGAGGTGAAGATATCTACAATGAATTCAAAAAGTACATGCTTGAGAAAATCATTCCAATCAAGAAACTTGTTTCGATCACAATGGATGGTGAACCCGCCATGCTTGGCGCACGTGCAGGCTTTGTTGCATTTTGCAGAAATGATCCAGATTTTCCTTCATTTGTGAATTACCACTGTATAATCCACCAGCAAGCACTAGCGAGTAAAATTATGGACTTCTCACATGTAATGAAAATCATTGTCAGAATTGTAAACTCAATTCGAGCAAGAGCCCTCCAGCATCGCCTGTTTAAATCTTTACTTGACTAAGTGGATGCTGCTTACGGTGAGCTGCCCCTCCATGCAGATATGAGGTGGTTAAGGAGGGGGAAAGTACTGCAAAATTTTTTGGATCTAATGCCCGAAATCATCACTTTTCTAAAATCAAGGAATGAAGTGTGCAGTGAGCTGTCAGACAATGCATGGCAGCTAGACTTACTAACATAACTTCCAAATTGAATGAGCTGAACTGTGAACTGCAGGGAAAGGACAGAAACTATTCACATATGATCAGTGCGGTGAATGCATTCAAATGGAAAGTGGGTCTGTGGTCCTTCCAGTTAAAGAATAAAATGCTGCAGCACTTCCCAAGTCTGGAGAAAATACTAGAAAAAATTGAAGGCAAAGAAAAATGGTTCCACCCAGAAAAGTTCTGTGCACAGCTGACCAAATTAGCAGAGAAATTCAACAGGTGATTTCAAGACTTACACATGATGATTGGCTCCATCACATCTATCTCAAATCTGTTCCTTCCAGCAGACATTGGTAGATTGGCTGTGACATTCCATAAGGTGTTTGATTTACAAAGTAGTGGAATTGATATGAAGCTAATTACCATGTAAAGTGACATTGAGCTGAAAGCCAGATCAAGGGACAGCGATTTTTGGGGACTTGCAAACCGAGAAAAGTATCCCCTTCTATTGTCCTGCGCTTAAAAGCAAAAGCTTACTTTGGTTCCACCTATTTGTGTGTGATGGCGTTTTCACAAATGAAGATTATCAAATCCAAGTATTGCATCTGCCTCACAGATGCACATCTGCTGGACTGCATCCAACTAGCTATTTCAAATTACAAACCAAATTTCAAGACACTGGTAGGTAATGTGCAGTCACACGTGTCACACTGAGACTCAGTAAGCAGGGAAAATGTATAATTATGTATATTAAGCAATTGATCTCAGCTTTATTTAACATACTAAACTGTTATTTCTACATTTTCTTTGAGGTAAATCCTGGGTTGTACTTACATTTCAAAGGTGACCTTGTGCTTAAAAAGGTTGAAGACAACTGCTTTAGACCATCCCTGACAAGTGTTTGTCTAACCTGTTCTTTAAAACTTCCAATGACTGGGATTCGACAACCTCTCTTGAAAGCTTATTCCGGTACTTACATATCTTTACAGTTAGAAAGTTTTTCCTAAATCACCCTGGCTGCAGATTAAACAGATGACTTCTTGTCCACCTTCAGTGTACATGGAGAACAATTGATTACTTTCCTCTTCATAACACATTTGAAAACTATGATCAGGCCCTTCTGTCTTCAGACTTCTACAGTATTGAGGTTCATATGCTACACATGTTATATTCATTGCAGAGACCTTAAGTTTGAAAGTCCTGCATTTGTTACTCATTCAAAACTCCCATTAATTTCATCTGCAGTTTTGCCACTGTATGAACTTCAATATTTGGTCCAGAGTTGTGTAATTTTTGTGGGGATTGGAGGTGTTAATGCTATAGCATAAGCTATTAGTGAAGCCCACTTAATGTCAACTAATTTAATGGAAAATGCTGTTTAAAGCATTTTCTGTACATCATGTTTAGCATTCAGTTATGCTGTTTTAATATCAATTGGCATTAAAACTATTTCCCAGTTAATATCAATCGGCATTACTGTTCTGCTGCTCCAAATAGCACTTAACTGTAATTGTTACAGGTGGCGGTAGTGGTTTTTCAGTTAACTGCATGTATCCTGTAGAACACAACTATAGAACCAGGGGAAAAGCGACTAGTTCCCTGCTACCTTTGCTCTGCTTCTCAGACCTTCACACTCCTTCACTCCTGGGATGCGGAGTCACCTCTCTAGCCTCTTTAAATGATAAATGTTCTGCCAGGGGCTCAGAGGAGAGAAGTAGCTTCAGACAGCCTCCAGTTGCACTCCACCAGACCTCAGTGACTGCAAAGAATTGTGGAGTGCGATGGGTCACAGCATAACTTTTTTGACTTTTGGATTGTTGATCAGAAAAGATAGAGGATCGCTGCTATAGAATTGTTATCTTTATGTGTGAAACATTGATATACAAACATTGAATATGGTTAGTGGTCATACATTTTTCTTTGTTTAGCAGCATGGCTTTGAAAGAAGCATAAAGCCTGGGTATTGGGAACAGGAACTGGATTTGGCTTCCATGATTTCATTTTCCACTAGGCAGCAGAAATGCCTAGAGCAGTGGTTTACCACCTATTTACTATTGTGGGCCACAGATGCAGCTCTCTAGATGTGTTATGTGGGCTGAAACCACACAATACATATACTACCTGTATGGCCCTAAGGATGTCTCATGGGCCGCAGCTGTGTGCTGATTAGGCCGCAGGCGGGCCACGGGTTGAGAACCACTAGCCAAGAGAGACTAAGTGTTCATTGGAAAATCCTGGTTAATGGAGAATATTGTGGCAAAGTGATGACTGGATTTGACAATATATGTGAGAAAATGTAAATACAAAGTTAAGTCTGAGATTTTTAATTGCAGATAAGACAAGCAACTCCGGTTCCCAAAGTAACATTAAGATTCTTGTAATGTACTACTTTGCATATTTTTTTAAAAAGTTTTTTATGCTTTTATTTAATTAAATTAAATTTATTTAATTTTCAAAGATACTTTTAGGGTAAAAATATAGTAATGACACAATGTACAAATCTAACAGAAGTGACTGTAAAAGGGGTTATAATGGAAATCCCATCCCAGTCTGCACTTTAGCGTCACTGAGTTGTAAAATTATATTCTCAACAATGATATCTTAGCTCTTATATAATGCTTTCAATTGGTAGATCTCAAAACACTTTATATAGAAAAGTGTACTTAGCCTCATTTTACAGTGGTGGAAATTGTTCAACAGAGAGGTGAAGTGACTTCCCCAAGGTCACACAGGAAGTCAGTGACAGAGCCAGGAACATAACCTAGGTTTCCTGATTCCTAGTCCAGTGCCCTGTCCTTTGGGTCACACTGCCTTCTTGATAGAGTAGTGTAATACTCTCTCATGCAGTACAGATAGAATGACTGAATAAATAAATCCCGGTACATGGGTTTGCTGATATGTTTTATGTGTCTGGAAATGTTGGTAGATACCTGAGTATGGTGCCCGGTTATATTCACTGACAAAGTTCTTTTGGCTATGATTTTTTTTTTTTTTTTTGAAAGACATAGTAGCCCTGTCCCTGACGGTGGACATTTTAATGGGCAGCCCCAGTGTGCATTTGTGGGGCAAAGTGGGAAGGCAGATAAATTGGAATGGCTTCTGAGATCCACTAGCCTGTGTGCTTGGCTACATGGAAAAGACAAAGTCCAATATTTCTTGGCAGAGAGATCATGTGGAACAATACGTTATTAAATACGTGTATTTCATCACTCTCCCTACTGTACTGCTCTCCACAAAAATCCCAAGGTGTATCACTTGTGATTGTGCCACTGCCGTATGGTCATTGATCAAACAGAGGACTCTCAATAAAACCACCTACTAAGTCAGTCCTCTTACTGCGACAGGGAAGTTGATATATTTCCCCTGTTCCCCACAAACTCCCCAAGTCCTTGAACCCTTTTGTGATTTCCTCATCATGGCCCTGCTCCTAGCATCCTTCCCCATACCTCCAGGAACATCAGGCCCCAAGCCTGCTACTATCCTATTTCCATGCAGCAGTGATTCTGGCAACTCCAAACTGGCATACATGTGAAGTGCTGAGCATCCTGCTAACCATGAGGAGTCCAAGGCATGGTGTCAAGAGTGTGGCAGCTTGTCCCACCACAAAATGGTGATGTAGTTGTACTTAACACTTTGCTTCCAGAGCTGGGATTATGGCTGTTGAGTAGTGTTGTCAGGGATGTGTGTGAGCAATGTAAATCTAGCTGAAGGTGTGAACTTTTTTTTAGCAGTAGTAGCTGAAAGTGCAAAATTCCATTGAGTGGAGAGGCAGAAATAGAGGAACAGTAGAGACAATTTAGAAAAGGTAGACTTTGGTCTTTGGTGAATGAATTTAAACCAAGGCTAAGTGCAGAAATGCAAGAGTTTATGCATGCCTTTTAGCAAAGTAGTGGTATTTTGGAAATTGCTGAGTCCTGTAACTGGGAGGCAACCCTTGGCATGCATGCCAGAAGGTGTCATACAAAGTCATATGACTTTACCTGGATAGACTCTCTTCTCCTTCTGTTCCTTGCTGTTTTGCATGTTGTGCCCATGAACAGCAGCATGCACTTGACAAAAGTATTGTAACTTTCAGTTGGCTCTGCTCCCATCCAGAGCCATTGAGGAAGGGCTGGCAACCTGGTATGAGAGATTAGTGAGAGAAAGGCAACCAAGAGAAAGAGAGGTGAAATCAGAGTGTACTGATGAGTAGAGATCAATGCAGAAATACCAGTATGTGTGGTGGTGGTAAAATGTGTGAAACAAGAACAAAAACCTTGCTAATGCCTTCCTTAGTCCAGATGTGGATAAGGAACATATATATTTCTGGAATTGGGAGTTACAGTAATTGGAACCTTGAATGAGTAGTTATGGCTTTCAAAATTTGTAGCAAAGAGAGTGTTAAGCAGTCTACAGACTAGGCTAAAATGAGCACTTAAAATTTGAAGTTATTGGGTTTATATTATATCTACCTCTCCGTTCCTTTTCCCTCTTTTTGTGTCTCAATTCAGTGCCGTGGTTTACACCGGTAGAAAATATTCTCATCATACTCTCCATGGTCTTGGCTATTTTGTTTTATTGGATTCAGTTAGCCGTTACTGGTAAGTATTAAATTTTGTTTAAATTCTTTACAAATGCTGAATGTTAGTGCTAATATCATTTTCATAAATGAAGCAGCAGGGTAAAATGGAGTAACAGAAAATGGAATCTAGTGTTTTTAAAAAATCAGATGGAAAGTAGAAGCCAGATTGGGTAGCACTTTAGAAGATGAAGGTTAAGGGGTGACTTGATTATAGTCTAGAAGTACCTCTTTGGGGAACAAATATTTAATAATGGGCTATTCAGTCTAGTTTTAAATTATGTTGGGGAAGTTCTAAGGCCTGTTATACAGTAGGTCAGACCAGATGATCACAGTGGTCCCTTCTGGCCTTGGAATTTACTAATCTATTAGATGTCCAAGGTCACACAGGAAGTCTGTGTCTAAGCAGAGAATCGAATGCAGGTTTTCCATGTCCTTGGCTAGCATCCTAATCACCTGAACAACCAGTTCATAATGCAATTGAAAAAAATAGAAAAAAGAAATGAAGACTAAGCATATCTAATTGAAATGGCAAAAGGGTTTTATGGAACTGATCCAGCTTGCAGTGAAATCAATGAAAGTTGACTTGTGCCATGTGGTAGGCAGGAGATAAATTAATTTGTGATTAGGAATTTATCTAGGATACTGATCTCAAGTTTTATTGCTGTCAGTACTGCAGGGACAACTGGAAAGATGTACAACATTAAGGTGCCATTCTTAAAGGGATCCTTTTTCTGACCATGGTCATAATTTAAAAGCTGTGTATTCTTGTGAATGATACTTCATTTCTAAACAAATTATCTCTCTGACTTTCGTTTTCCCTTAGTATCAAAATTTGAAACTACACTTCTGAAGATCGGCTTATTTATTGCAGGAGTCGTCATCACAATTTCTGCTGTTGTTGGTTTTAGTCTTTTAATTTCAGGTAAGTGTAATAATTATTTGTCGTCTAACGTATTAGTGGCCAGAAGTGATAAGCATACGGAAGGTTGATTTCATTGGGAAATGCTTGTTGTTAGCACCTTTGAAAATCAGGCCAGTAGTTTACTCTTCTGTGTTTTAGTTGGTAGAATACAGAATTTCTGTGCACCATCCAGGGTGGATAAAAATCAATGATTTAAAAAAAAAAATTGGATTTTTTTAAATTTAAATCAAATGTTTTTGATAAAATGCTTTTTGAGGAAAAAAACAATTTAAAGATAGTTTTAATTAAGATACATTATAGCTCAAAGATATCTCATCATGGAAGAGGGATGATAAATTCTAATTCTATAATATGAGACAATGTATTCATGTAATGTTTAAGAAAAGTTTTGTAAATGAGTTCCAATAGTTCATGGATTAGGGACCCAATTTTATGGGATTCCCAGGGCTTCTGTATAGATTATTTAGGTAGGGTTACCATATTTGGAGCCTCCTAAAGGAGGACACTCCACGGGGCCCTGCCCCCAGTCCTGCCCCCGCCCCAACTCCGCCCCTTCCCCAAAGTCCCCTCCCCTGCTTCCCGCGAACATTTGATTCGCAGGCAGCAGGTAAGCTGGGGGG